ATGATAAGGAGTTTATACCTATTACAGTTCTAAATACTGGGATAACATAAAAATAATTAAGACACCTGGGAGAAGGGGTTGTAAGAATTTTCTTTAAAAGGGATCAGTATATATTAAAATTTGAAAAATATCACTCTGTAAACTCAATGAAGGCAGGGACTCTATCATATTCTTATGCTAGGGGGACCCTTATATCCTCAGATCCTAATTCTGCACCTGGCACATAGTAGATACTCAGTAAATATTTTTTAATTAGGGAATGCTTACTTCTCATGTATAAACACACACACTTTGGAACTGTGCTTCAGTTTCTTCAGGGCATGTTTCAAGTATTATTTTGAGGATTTCGCAACATGTCTGTCAAAATCTCTTGATGTAAAAGATTTGCCTGAGTGTTTACTTTTTTTCTCACCTTTATGATTCTGATTGTAATACTTTCAAAAATTAAAAATAATTATTCATTTTGAAAATGTGCTAGTATAAAGCAACACTCAGTTGTAACCTTCTCTCTGAATTTATAGCACAGAAATTTTCATCCCAGCATAGACTAATAGGTAAAACTTGTGTACATTAAAAAAAAAAATTAAGGAGCTAATGTATTTTTAGAACATATGCTTAATTTTTCTTTTCTTTTGAAATAATTTTAAACATGGAAAAGTTGCAGAAATTTTAGAGTTCCCATATGCCTTTCACTCAGTTTCTCACAAGGTTAACAATATGTACAATATGAAAAACAAGAAATTAACACTTGTTAGTGCAGTATTATTAACTAACCTTTAGATTATTCAGATTTCACTAGTTGTTCCATCAGTGTCACTTCTCCTGTTTCAGGATCCATTCCAGGGTCCCACATTGCATTTTGGTTGCCGTGTCAGCTTAGTCTTCTTCAGTCTGTGACAGGGCCGTAATCTTTCCTTGTCTTTCATGAACTTGACACCTTTGAAGAATACTGGTCAGTGATTTTGTAAAATGTTGCTAAACATGGGTCAGTGTGATGTTTTCTCATGATAAGATTGAGGTCATGTATTTTTGCCAGGAATACCACAGAAATGATGTGCTCGTCTCAGTGGATCATCCGGGAGTTGGCCGTGTTGCTATGTCTTATTACTGGTATCGTTATCACCGGTTACCTGGATTACTTCTCTGCTGGGTTTCTCCACTATCATGGTACTATTTTTCTCCTGATAATTGACAAACATCTTTGGGAAGATACTTTGAGACTATGCAAATGTTCCGTTTCTCCTTAAAATTTCACCCACTAAGCTTAGAACCCATGGGTGGGTCCTACTGTCGTGTTCTAATGGTGCTTTTCTATCTTCCTTACTGTTGCTGCAGTAATTTTTTGAAATTCTTCTGTAAGGAAAAACTATCCCTTTTCTCCTATTTGTTCATTCAGTTATTTAATTATGTCACTATAGACTGATGGGCTTTTATTTTTTATGTGGTTCATAATTCAATTCCATTGTCATTTCTGTTGCTTAAGGTTTCCAGCCTTGGTTGCTGGGAGCTTTTCCCCGTCGGTTCCTGCGCCCTTTGACATGCCATGTCTCATTTTTGAGAACTTCTTTACTTTCTGGTACTACAAGATATTCTAGCCTTGTGTTGTTTTTCTCTGCCTCAGCGTTTTAATCAGCTGTTTCTCCAGGGAACCCTGGTTCTTTTCATGGAGGATGGTATTTAGAAACTACAATCTTTGCATTAGGGGCGCTCATTACTATTGGGCTGCCAGAGGGCAGAACTAGGGACTATATGCATACTAATCCATGCCTACAGGTCCATATTTATTTCTGTATCTATCTATAAAATACAGATGCACATATCTCTGTTTTAAAAGCCACAAGTTAATACGGATGCCTCCAACTACTATCCCATCCCATTGGATTTATTCTAGCCTCTACCTTTCCTTACTTGTAAGTTTTGTTCTGATGGTGATAAACCTGGCTCTCATTATCTGTAATATGCTTACTTATGTGTTCAACTCTAGTATACTGATAAAGTAACAGAAGTGCTAGTCCTCTGAGAAATAAAATAACTACAGTATGACATTATATGTGCAGTTATTTTTTTCTTTAGTTATAACAGTATCTAATCAAATATTGTTTTCCAAAATTATGTTTATATTATTAATTTGTAATGCAGTCAGGTTCATTTGTTAAAGTTTGCGTTTCATTTTGGGACCTCCTTCCCCCCATCTTCATTGTTTTCAAAAATGCATAAAATAAAATTCATTTTTGGGTTGCATATTTCTATGCATTTTGGCAAAGGCACCGCAGTTTTGAGACAGAACACTTCCATCACCCCCACATGCTTATGTTTTGGAAGAAAAGATGGAAAGTTGTTTGGTACTTAAAACTCAAAGGTAAAATTTTTGGTGGATTTTGCTGATGTTCTAGTCTGGTTTGAACAATCAAAGTAGGAAAGAAATGTGTTCGAATAATCAAGTAATTGGGATACTAAAAGAGAGTAGGAGAGGGACTTCACTTCTTAATGACACCATCATTTGTTTTATTCATTGTAGTTCCAGAACATGGCTTTTTTTTTTTCAGGTTTTAAAGAATTGAGACTTTTGATATAGTAAATTAAGACTATTTAAACAAAACTAATTAACAAGATATAAGCAAATATATACTTTAAAACCATTACTTTTCTTATTGTCATTCTCTCCTTGTTCACCCTATAAGTAAAAAGAGGGTAGTTTAGAAGTGACAAAATCTATTCCATTTTTTTCAGTAAACAGTAATACTTTGGTTTGCGAGCATAATTCATTCTGGAAACAAACTACTTGTATTGCAAGACATCGCTTGTTTACCACGTTAAAATGTATTAGAAATGTTTGCTCGTCTTGCCAAACACTTGCAAACTGCTTTACTCTCAATCCAAGGCTTTACTGTACCTTTTTTCTTCCTTAGGTAGGTATGGAGCAAGTCTTTTACCCTAACTGAGTGTAAGATGCCTACCTCCCTTCTCAACCTCTATCTCTTTCTGTCTCTTTTTTTTAAGCTTTATTTGGTTATAATTAATATACAAAAAAACACATTTAATGTATATATCTTGATGACTGACATATGCACACACTCGTGATACATTCCCCACAAAGTACTAAAAACACATCCATCACCTTCACAAATTTTCTTGTATTCCTGTGTGTGTGTTGTAGTATGAACATTTAACACGAGATCTGTCCTCCTAAGATATTTTAAAATGCACAATACTGTATCGTTAACTATAAATACTGTGTTATACAGGAAATCTCTAGAACGTCCTCATCCTGTGTTACTGAAGCTGTACACCCGCTGAGCCATGGTTTCCCATTCTCCCTCCCCCAGCCCCTGGCAACCACTATTCTGTTCTCTTTTAAATACATCATGTAAGTGGAATCATGCAGCATTTGCCCTTCTGTGACTGGCTTATTTCCCTTAGCATAACGTTCTCTGTGTTTACCTATATTGTCACAGATGGCAGGATTTCTTTCTCTTTGAACACTGAGTAATCGTCCATTTGTGTGTGTGTGTGTGTGCGTGTGTATGTGTATAGATAGATAGATAGATACACACACACACTCACACACTTGCTTTATCTGTCATCTGTCAGTGTACATTTGGGTTGTTTCCATATCTTGGCTATTGTGAATAATGCTTCAGTGAACATAGGGATATAGATGCCTCTTCGAGATTCTGACTTTAATTCTTTTGGATATATACCCAGAAGTGGGATTGCTGGATCATATTTTTTATTTTTGCCAACCCTACTTGCTGTTTTCCATAGTGGCTGCATCGTTCTACATTCTCCCCTTCTTGAACACGTGGCCAGTCTCTCTGATAGATTCACGGGGAGCTTCTCTCACTTTTTACTTGAGAGGGAGGGGAAAGAGATTGCATTTCTCCCTAAGTTCTAGTGTAGAACTTGCTTAAAAGGTACACTTCAAGCCCTTCTTCCCTGACCACTCATGCTTGCCTGGTTTTCCAAGGAGAGGGGATCTGTTTTTTTTACAGAAATACACCACCACACACTTTTTACTTCTAAGGCTTTTTCAGGTTAAATGAATACTCTAAAGACCAAGAATATCCTATACAGAAGCCAGACAGAGTGTTGCTTCCTCCCACGGTCACCCCCCCAATGCCCCAGGACAGAATGTTTCTGGCACCCCACCTCCATTTGGAGTGTCCCCAGTCACTGTGCCTCCCCACTGTCCCTTTGCCTATTTCAATTCTGATTTTAAGCACAGTAGTTTTTTTTTCTTCTTTTACCTTAATATAATATAAATGGAACCATACAGCACCCTACGTAAGTTTCTTTCACTCAGCTCTGTATTTATGAGATTCCTCCATGTTGTTGCAAGTTGAAGCTTAGAGGGAAATTTAAGGTCAAGTTGAGGCTCAGATTTACCCTTTGCTAGTGAGGGCGGTGGTGGTGCTGCAGTTTTTTTTTTTGGTGGTATTTGGCTAGAGAAGAGCAGTTAATTTTTTGTCTTACTAGGTTGCCCTTTTTCTTGTCCTTTTGGTAGAGAGAGCTTCCTTTCCTTGGGTCTTTTTCTTTCTTTCCTGTATCCATTGGCATTCTTGGATTGCGGATTTCTGCAGCAACCAGCCTAGGATAGATGATGCTAGAAGAACACCCAGGGAACTCACTGTCATGCCATTCTTCAGGTCCTGATGTCCATAGCCGGTCCACCTTCTTGTTTCCACTTTTCCAAGCCTTCTTATGCTTGTTTTTTTAAAATACAACGACCAGAGTTTTTAGTGGGTGCCTTAGGGGAAAAGCATTGTCTATTCCATCTATTTTGTAGGTGGAAGTCTGTTTTACCTTTGAAGTCCATTAGGAAAAATAAAATGAAATATTTTATGCATAGATGGTCAATTAACGATGAATATATTCACCAAAACAGACTTTGAACAGACACTAGTGTTGGCTAAAATATAATTTCACGTAATTCTGTTTATTATAAACTGAAGGATTTTAACCCTTTGTAAATTTAATTTCCTGTGTTTAATCGTAGAATCTTTTAGCCGAAAAAGTAGAACAGCTGATGGAATGGAGTTCCCGGCGCTCAATCTTCCGAATGAATGGCGATAAATTCCGAAAATTTATAAAGGCACCACCTCGAAACTACTCTATGATTGTTATGTTCACCGCTCTTCAGCCTCAGCGGCAGTGTTCTGTGTGCAGGTAACTGGTGCATTTAAAAATTTTTAAAAAAACTATTATCCCATGCTTATATATTTATTATATTTAAGATAACTATATTTAATAGAACTAAACAGTTGTTCAATGTTGTAGTCAGATATAACTGTGTGCATTTAAAAGTAAGCTAAAAATTATTGTATTCTAGAAAATGATTTTAATAGGCTAATCTTCAATTATATAAAATATTTATTGACCATTTCACATATAATCATAAGAAAAGATTGATCTTTATGTCTTACATGTAAAAGCAAGTGTAAGATAGAATTTGGTTCGAATATTGCCTTGTAGATCACCTAATTATATCTTGTGGACGATGAAGTAGACCCCCTTAGACATACTGTATTTTAACAAGTTTAATAGGGGGAACACTCTTACTAAAGAAGCTCATTTACTTTGCAATACCGTCAACTTGCTTCCTGTTAAATAGAAGTAAATAATTTGAGATGAATGAAATATTTTTCAGTAGGAACATACTAAAGAAAATTTTGGACAAGTACAAATATAACACATATGCAACAAATGCTGTTTTTTAATTAAACCTTTTGTTTTTAGGTAATTGTAGTTTCGTGTGTAATTTTAAGAAATAATACAGACAATGCATATTGCCTTTTACCTATTGTCCTACGGGGTAATACCTTGCAAAACTATTTTGCAGTTGTTGGTATTGATATAGTCAAGATCCAGAACAGTCTTATCACCATAAGAACCCCTCCCGTTGTCCTTTATAGCCACCCTCACACATCCATTTCACCCCCACCTCCAGAATTTGTTTTCCTTTGCTGTAATTTTGTCATTTCAAAACTGTTTTGTAAATGGAATCATACAGTGTGTGACTTTTTGGGTTTGGCTTTTAAAAAATAATACCCCCAAATCCAGTCCAGTTGTTGGCATTTATCAACAGCCCAGCCTTTTTATTACTGAGTAGCATTCCATGGTATGGATGTACTGTGTGTGGTTTGTTTAACCATCCATCTGTTAAAGGAAATCTGGGTTATTTCTAGTTTTTGGCTATTACAGATACAACCATTATGAATATTCTTGTACAAGTTTTTGTGTGAACTTAATTTTTTGTTTCTCTGGGATAAATGGCAGAGAGTGTAATGCTCGCGTTGTATTGTGGTTGCATGTTTAGCTTTGTAAGAAACTGCCAACATGTTTTCCAGACTGGCTGTGTCATACTGCATTCCCGCCAGCAGTGTATAAGGGATCTAGTTTTTTCATATCCTTTCCAGCATTTGATGTTGCTACTATTTTATTTTAGCCATTTTGATAGGTATGGAGTGCTATTTCATTGTGGTTATATTTTGTATTTCCCTAATGACTAATGGTGTTGAACATCTTTTTAAGTGCTTATTTGTCTTGTTGAACATTGTTTCATGTGCTTATTTCTCATCTGTATATCCTTTTTGGTGAAAATATCTGTTCATGTCTTTTTCTAATTTCTAATTGGATTTTCTTTTTTACTGAGTTTTGAGAGTTTCTTATATATTTTGGACATTAGTCCTTTGCCAGATATATTCTTTTTTATGGCTGATTGATATTCCATTGTATATATGTACCACATCTTTATCCAGTAGTCTATTGATGGGCACTTAAGTCGCGTCCATACCTTGGCTATTGTAAATAATGCTTCAGTGAACATAGGGGCGCATATATCTTTTCAAATTAATGTTTTAGATTTCTTCAGATAAATACCCAGACATGGAATTGCTGGGTCATAAGGTAGTTCTGTTTTTAATTTTCAGAGAAACCTCCATACTGTTTTCCATAGTGGCTACACCAATTTACAATCCCACCAACAGTGCACGAGGGTTCCCCTTTCTCCACATCCTTGCCAACACTTGTTTGTTGATTTATTAATGATAGCCATTCTGACAGATATAAAGTGATATCTCATTGTAGTTTTAATTTCCATTTCTTTGATGATTAAGAGGAAGTTCTTCATTCCTAGTTTGCTGAGAGTTTTTATCCTGAATGGGTGTGGGATGTTTTCAAATTTTTATTAGTATCATTTGATAGGATTTTGCTCTTTAGCCTGTTGATACGGTAGATTACACTGATTTTCAAATGTTGGACCAGTCTTACATTTTAGAATAAATCCCACTTAATTGTGGTGTATTCTTTTTATGTATTGCTAGATTCTATTTGCTAATATTTCATTGAAAAATTTTGCATCTGAGTTCATGATACTGATTTGTATAATTTTATGTCGTTTTATATCTTTTTTTTATATATACTGTTTTGTCTAGTTTGGGCATCAGAGTAATATTGGCCTCATAAAGTGAGTTGGCAAATGTTCCCTCTTTGTTTATTTTCTGGAATAGATTGTATAAAAATACAAAATTTTAGAAGATTGTGTTACTACTTCTTTAAATATTTGTTAGAATTTTCCAGTAAAACCATTTTGGCCAGGATATTTCTTTTTCAGGAGACTTTAAATTATGTATACCATTTCCTCAATTGCTAAGGTCAACTCAGGTTCTCTATTTTTTCTTGGCTGACTACCATGTTTTCTTTTTAAAAGCAAACGCTTTTTGTGTGGTAGCTCCACATCTAAACTCTTCATGTTGTATATTCATTTGTAGACTTTAATTTTCTTAGTCATTTTGAACTCTAGTGGAAACTAAGTTCTTAGTAATATGGGTCAATGAAAAAAGAAAAAAAAAGTTTTGCTTGTACTAGCTTACAGAAAATACATTTAATTTTAGTGTTCTGAAATTTTCAAGAAAGATCTGATCACAGCTTAATAATGTGTGTATATTGGGGTGTGACTAAAAATGGGTAGAGAAAATGGTGAACAAAAATATTTTGAAAAATACACTTCAGATGATTCTGAGTTCTCCTTCTATCAAATTTGAGGACTAGTACCCAAGTGAGTATTAATACTACTGCCAGGATTGGGTTAGCACATATGGATAAGGGTATCTATACCTTAAGGGATGCTGTGAAGCCTTCAGCAGACAAAAATACCACCTTAATTGGCATTTTGGTGTAAAAGTTCAGTTTCCACTAAAAATGTCTTCTGATGTGCTACAATACCATATATCTTTTAGGGAAATCATTTGCTTACTCTTAAAAACTGAACATATTGATTTCCTATATTCACCACTATATGAAGAAATATACTTATTTGATCATTATATTTTTGGCACCTGTATTCTAGAAATACTTTATTATTGAAGTATTTATTTCATAGTTACATATAGTTGTATTTCACAGTTACATATAACTGTATATATTCTGATAATGTTAACCATAACATACTGTTAAGTGATAAATCCTTTAGGTAATATTTTACTTAATGCATTATGTTGTTAAATGAATTGTTAAATATGGACTCTTAATTTTTTTATGACACCTACGTCAAAATAACCTTTCTTTGTTTATTATAGCCTATTATGTAATAAACGTTTACATTTTAGCATAGTTTTAGATTCATAAGAGAAAAAGATTAAAGTTATTAGAAAAAGTTAAGATAATTCATGGATCAGGGCAGGGGAAAGGCTGTTAGAGAAGGGAGAAAGAACATGTTAAGCTTTAGAGGTGAATTAAAAATGTAGGGCAGATATATGGTTCCCATACCCAGACATTCTAATTTACCATATTTGCCGGCGTATAAGACGATTTTTTGGCCCTGAAAAATATGCCTCCAAGTGGGGGGTCGTCTTATACGCCAGGTACACTTCAGATAGACTGCCCATAGTGCTTGCCCCGTGCCATAGTGGCCTCCCGATGCCCGCCCACTTCATTCCACATACCGTTCAGGCATCAGCAGTGCTGCTGGGTGTATGCTCGGCTGTTATGCGATTTTGCGAGTGTGGTAAATTCGGGTTACCGTATATTTCTTTACATATGCATTGAAGATTCGCGATTTTGCGCTATCATGGTGCCTGTTAGAATGTTGAAGAGCTCGCACTTGCGCACTAGTGAGGTCCCAGGGAGATGCTGATGCAAGGGTGGACCAGACTGCTATAGTGACAGGGCGGGCAAACAGGGAGCAGGGACCAATCAAATCAGGCTTTGTATACAGCCAACAGCCAACCACAATACTGCACCATTGTACAGTACAGCATAGAAAATGTCGACCAGTCAAACCCCTATCATCCCTATCATGGCACCAGCCAAAAGAAAGAAGTATGATGCAAATTTTAAACTGAAAGTTATAAACTTTGCTAAGGAAAATAATAATTGTGCTGCTGCAAGACAATATGGAGTAACAGAAAAGATGGTTCGGGACTGGAAATCAAATGAGAAAGCATTAAAGAGTATGCCAAGGGGTAAGTGTGCATTAAGAAGAGGCACCCCACACTGGCCAGAACTCGAAAAACATGTAGCAGACATGGTGGCTCAACATCGCCAAAACAGTTATGTGGTGACACGAAATACAATACGCTTGTTTGCACTTCAGTGGGCCAAATCAAATCTGATATTGTTTTACCTTTTATTTGGTGTGTGGAAGGTGTGCGGAAGAGGGGGTAGTCTTATAAGGCAAGTATATAACAAACTCTGTATTTTGAGTGGAAATGTTAGGGGTCGTCTTATACGCCCAGTCGTCTTATAGGCCGACAAATACGGTAATTGTTTTGGGATGGGGCCACAGCCTTGACATTTACAAAAATATGATCTAGGTGATTCTAGTGTACAAGCAGTTTAGAGAAAGGGAAGGTAAGAAGCAGGTTTATGATTCATAGTTTTTTTGTTTATTTTCATTGCAGAGCAATGGGAATTGAAACGCTTAACTAATTAGATAACCATATGGCATTGTGGTCCCTTTTGAAACTAGAATACCCAACTTCTTAGTGCAGAACCTGTAAAATTAAATTATTTTCTTCCCCAGTACTCAGCAATTTAGGAGCAAGCACACACTCCTTAGAGATTAATATGGTTGGTGTATGGTGTGCAGTGTATTAGACATGATTTGAGAGTATTAGAGTATATTTCAAATGTGTCACTACGGGTTCAAAGTCGGATAGGGGGTCAGA